AACCTCCAGCAGCAGCATGAGTTTGAGTCCATTCCTGAAGTCTTCTTCAATGTTCTCGATCTGTGTCCCTGCCTTACGCAGGTGAGAGTTGCACCAGGCAGTGAAGGTCTGAATGGAAAAAATAAGAAATGAAGTCTTCAGCAGTCATCCATTTACACATCATCCAGTTACACCATTTTGCATCATGTTTCATTTTTGTTCAAAGGTGTGACACAATGTGGTCATATAGAAACACAGTGGATGTCATCCTTTTACGTGAAATAATTTAATTATATGTCAAATAAAATAAAATAAAATATTGATGGCATTTGCCCCCAAATTTAAAATATATATTTTTTTCTTTGAGTGGCATTTTTGCCTTGAGCAAAGATTCATTTCTGTCCCTGATCTACACATAGTTGGATCTATAAGCAGCGTTGACTGTACATGCCTCACTGGGAGCCCCAGCGTAAGAGAGAAGGGGACAGAGAGTGAGTGAGGTGACTGAAGAATGCCAAGGCCCAACGTAATTTGATGTAAGTCTGGAAGCGGAGACCCTTTTGCAGCAGATGGCCACCCTTCAAATCACCCCCCTCTGTCAAAGATCACCAAAAATAGCCTGGGAGGGGGAGGTGAAGATGAGGAGGAGGAGGAGAAGGAGAGGCTATATCGGGGAGCCATGAGACACCAGCAGACAGCTGAAAGCACAGCATTCCTGGAACAGACGCTCAAAACACTACAGCGCGAAAAAAATGTGTGATGTTCCACGACACTGTTGGGCCATTTATTTTATATAACATCCTCATAAAACTTACAATTATAATCAAAAGCAATAAACTTCAGTGAGTGTTATTTTAAATTGGAGACTGAATGACATAGCATGGATTCAAGAAATTAAAAGGGCAATTGTTTTAGTGGCCACCCAAGTATGTGCACCAGGAATATGAAACATTTTTCTTGGACGTCCTTGAACTCGTTACATTGTGAATGGGGGTAAAAATATTTAGTCAAGCAACAGGTTGGTTGTACAGAAATAACTTGGCATGTTGGTGATGCTTTCATTACGTTTTCACATGCTTATTGCTTTAGCATTGATGATGTCTACACTCTTTAAGTCAATTCAAATGTTTATACATATTTAGTTTGCCAGATCATATTTTTCATATATAACCTAAAGCAGTAAATACTAGTCAGCTTTGATTAATGTATATTTCAAATATCTTAAAATCTACATATGAATTTAAAAAGGGGGGGGGGGG